TTCCTCTGAAAATGCCTGGATCTTGTGCATGGGTTTTGGGAAATGCACAGCATCTTCAAGAAAACATTAAAAGCAATAAATAAAATGAGTGTACTTTGCAGATGTAGCACAACATCATCTTAAATTTTCTTATATATATATATACACACATGTATATCGTATAAAGCTCTACTTAAAAAACCAAAAAGATCTGAAGTTCTTGAAATACTAAAAAGATTCACATATTTTAAACCATACAGGCATGACTTTTTAAATATATTCTAATAAAAATATACTTGCTTCTAGAAAAGTAAAATAAAATTAGACAGTTTGAATGATTCATTCAGTCATAGTAGACACAGCCATTCATGCCATAATGACTTCAAGCAAGCCAGTCTTTTCAGATATACATACAGATACTCCAGCTTGAGATACTTAAGCTGGACCAACTTTCCAAAATCTTCTTTATCATGCATTACAATATGAATAATTACATGATGTGATGAAAACTACCAGATGTTAAATTCTTGAATGTTCTTTAGAAAAGACTTTCAGCCTTGTTAATGGAGCCAAACCTACTGAAACATCAGGGGTGTCAGTTTAGGGGTGTTATATAGGATTTCCAATTCTATGATTTTAAAAAATGTACATGAGGGCACTACATGTCCTGTCAACATATTTTGCATCACTAAAAGTTCATATAAAGTAAAGAATTTCATGATATTACCCCATTCCTCTACCTGTGAGGCTTTATGGAGCAGATAACAGGCATCACCTTTGGCTATCTCCACACTACCTATATTCTTCCATTCATTTAAAATTATATATCAACAATACCAATTCTTTACACTTATTTCAGCAGCATTGACAGTAAAAAAATAAGCTAACAGAGACTGTCAGACAGCAGACATTGACAATAATCCAGCTAAAACTGCTAAATACATTACCATCATTTTTCATCCAATTCATTTAGAGAATTACATAAACCTAGCATCTACGAGGAAAAGAACAAATCTATTTATGCAGCTTATGAGTAATATCAACATAAGATACACAGAGCCATATAAGAGATATAGACATATTTTTAATTCTATATACATTTGAAGCCCTCCAACTACTTCAAAAACATCTTTGCATTGTTTCTTAAGTCAAAAGAACTAAAGAAAGTCAACCATAAAGGAACAATCCTCTAAAAACACTGGGACGAATTCTGTCTTGACAAAAAAAGAACATTGTCTTGTACACAAAAGATCATGCTAGAATTAATCCTCTTCTCATTTAAAAGATTATATTCATTTAATTTTATTTTCTGATTGTCATTCTTAAGTCCTCAAACAGTAATTATTTAAGACTAGAAGTGAAAGGCAACTCACCGCAGTCTGGGACACCTCCTCTGAAATCTATTACAACTCCAAATCTTCGGCAGTGATGAGCATAATGCGCCAGAGCAGAGCAAAAACAAATCTGTCCACATTTGCAAGTGTCTCTTCTGCACTGCTCAAAATAGGGAACAGGACTCAAATAGGTGTAGCACGGAGCAAAAAGTTCTTTCGTAAGGATGCTACAAGCTTCTGCTGCGTAAGAGGCTGTACAAATAACAGATGAAACACTTTTTCAGTGAGGAAGTTTAAAAAGACTTGGAATAAAAAGTGTCTTCTATACAATGCAACTGATTATGGTTACATACTATTGCCATATATATATTTTTATCTTTGATATCTATACAACTGTATGGAAGGACAGAAAAGTAGTTAGCTGCTCATAGTTTTGAGCTTGTTCTGGCAAGATTTTAAGGTATTCAGAAAACTTTACAGTACGCAGACAGCGCCTACACACTCTCTCCTATCTTTAAACTGATTCATGGATGTGAGTTAGGCAACAGATGCTACACACTACCCAGTGCCTTTCATAAACACAGGATTACATATCTCTTCAGTTTAAGTCATTCCCAGCAACTACTTCAACAGGTCAGTATTTTAAAGAATAATTTGCTACCCATTGCTTCAGTCGCATAAGGCTGCAACCATGCTCAGAGCTGCTAGCTTAGGGTAGCACTATCACACAGGAGAACAAGAGCAGTATCAAATAATTACATAAGAAGCTCCAAACACAGCACTCATCTGAGTATCTTAATTGTGAATGCATTAAATAATTGTGCAACAGTGGTCAAAAGAAATAATATGCTATATTAGCATAACCAGAAAGACAGAAATTTTTAACTCCCACAAAATAAGAGAGAGGCATAAAGTAGGGCTTCAAAATTCCTTTTCCAGAATTTCTGACTTCCTGTATAGGCCACTTTTTTCCACATTCATGTCCAAACCCATTACCAAGAACACAGCTTCTTAGTGCTGCACATTGTATAAATACTCAAAAGACAGGATGAATGTTGTAGCAGGAGATACAATGATTTCCTAGCACTGCTGAAACTACAGGCAAAACCTTAAACAATATTTTACCTCTGCATCTTGCCTAAAAGCACGTAGAGTCCAAGACAAGAAGTGGTAGGAACTATGAAATGGATATAACCGATGATCTACAAAGTTCAAGATTAAAGGATGTCTTAGTGACCATCTGTGGTCCTCATGGCATCAGTCACTAGCATCTTTCCCCAAATGGACCCTTTCAGCTGAATCTAAAGGCTGGTAGTGCATAAGTTATCTTTCTTCTACTCATTCTCCTCCATAGCAGACAACTAAATCAAATATTTCATGTTTTCAAAACTGAATACTGCAATACTTTTGAGTCTCCATCTTAACTAGTAGCATCATCAACACTAGACATACTACCAACCTTTAATGCATGTTTAACTTAACACATTGTACCCGCAAACCAGAAATAAAAAGGGGGGTATTTCAAGTGCCTCTGCAAGTATCACAAAATACTTAAACAATACACTACATGATTTGTTAGGGTATTGAACTCAACAAATGCTACCTGTAAATATTAATTTTTTCAGTGGGCAGGACTGGCTATTACTTTATCCGATCCAACTAGGAAAATCGGCACAGATATAATAAGTAGAAATACATTTGTCAATAACAATTGACCTTCACTGCCCACCTGCCTGCAGATGAATATCACACGGATCCATTTGCGAACTATCACGCACAAGAACACACGTCGATGAAGTTTTCCATGTGTTTCCAAACAGCTCTGGAGTGCTTTCAGTTACTCCGACTGGAGATCTTTTACAAAACAGAAGTCAGTCACAAAAGATACCATGAATTCAGAGAAGAGTCTCAGTTCTACCAGCCCCTTCACCAGAGCTTCACCAGAAGCTCCCCTTCCACTGTTCCATATTCTCATGCACTCTTCCATAAAGCACTGTCAGCTTAAGTTTCAGGACTCTTTCTTTCCAGGCAAAGGCCCAGAAATGAAAGAGAAGATGTGCTCTAGAGCCGTTAGATGCTTTGTAAGGAGAGATGGATCAAAACAGACCGAGTTCTGTTTTCGCAAAAGAGAAGGAGGGAGCTCCACCGTCCTGAAAGTCTGCACTCTCTTATTCATACTTCTGTCTCCTCAGTGATACCTGATTCATTTTTATCTCTCATCTACCTATAATTTCCAGCCTGTTCCTGTGTAGCTGACTTTCCAGGCTCTCTAGTCCCTGCAAGAAAGACGAAGGAACAGAAATCCAAGAGTCCAGAGATGTAACTGCAACAGCAATTTAACAGATATCCATGAAGCCCAGGTACTCAATCACAGGGGCAGCAGGAGCTGAAAGATTAAGACTTGGATCAAAATAACCAAGGCACATTAATACTGTATAGGGAGAATGATCGAAACTGTGCACTTAAAAATAGGATGTTACTCTCTCAGGAAAAGACTGCATTAGGCATACAACCAGTAGTATTATTTCAGGTAAAGTAGTTGGGAGTGGAGGCATTGCAAAAGACACCACTGTCTATGGAAGTCTCCCAAATCTAGTGTGGATCTGGTGTTTTTTGTATGTATCAAGGTGCTTGCACATTACTGCTTGTGTCATGTCTCAGCACAATTCATAAGTTCCTGTAGTTTAAGAGCTTTTTTCACAAATATCAACTACTGAGCAACTTCTCACTTACTTGAGAACAAGTCCAAACACTGTGATCAAAAACATACTACAAAACTTACTTGCTTAAAACAGAGAAATATGTCAAATAGTTTTGCATATACAGTATCTCTTAATTGAGATCCTGGCTATATATTTCTAATCTTGTTATAAAAAATATTCTGATAATACTTTTTAGTCTTTAAGATAGAAATTGTTTAAAAACCCACTAGAATATTTGTATGTGTGGTTTTTAAATGGGAATTATTATGGAAAGTTTTCCCATTTTTCTATTAGTTTTGATTTTAAAAATTCCAACTGTTTTGAGAGAAAGAAGTTCTCCTACTCCTTTCTTTTTCTTGGTCAAAGAAATATCCTGTCATGGTCTAAATTCATGTTCTCCTTCTCCCACTTCCATTAGGCTGCTCAATCCTCTGGAAGCCAATTTGTTCTTTAGTATCTGTAGGAAATATGCTGCAAAGAAGCTGGACAAACAGCAATCTTGACTGTGGTGCTCAGGCAGCTCTGATCACCTTTCACTGCATCACAACAAAGCGAAGCTCAGGCAACAGCCAATTCC